GAGCCATGCAGTTTGCAGACATTTCTCACCCAGAAAGATAGTACAAACTAATATTTTTCTCCAATTTGAACATTGCAGTACTGTCCAGCATATGGAAAACTAACAATGTATTTAAAATGTCTCAACTGGATGCTATAATGATTTATTTCCAGTCAGAAGTGACTACTACACTGGCAGCCAGTAAAACTTTTGCAAAAGGTCTGCTAGACAGCTTTATTTTTATGCACAAACCACCACATTCACATCAAGTTCACTCCAAAATGCTTGCTCTAGAACTAACATTACAAATCCCACACTTCACTTTGCTTAAGAGCACAAGCTAATTCATCTATACCCATGGCCTGACGTATTTGGTGGCCTTCTATGATGGGGTTACAGCAGTGGTAGAGAAGGGAAGGGCAATAAATATCCACTAAAACTCTTGTAAAGCATTTGACATTGTTCTGCATGATACCCTTATCCAAACCTGGATAGACAAAACCTGGATATCCAAACCTGGAGAGACATGGATTTGATGGATGGACCACTCAGTGGATAAAAAATTGTCTGGCTGGTGATACTCAAAGACTTGCAGTCAACAGCTCAATGTCCAGATGAAGAGAAGGGACAAGTGAATTCCTCACAAGTCAGTATAGTGACAGCTTTGACAGTGACATGGACAGCAGGATCAAGTGCACCCTCAGCAAGTCTGCCAACACCACCAAGCTGTGTGGTGCAGTTGACATGCTGGAGAAAGGGGATAACATCCAGAGGGATCCTGACAGGTGGGGTGTGTGAGAACCTCATGAAGTTCAACAAGGCCAAGCGCAAGGAGCTGCAGCAGGATCACAGCAATCTCAAGCACAAAGATAGAGTGAAGAATGGATTTAAAGCAGCCCTGAGGAGAAGAACTTGAGGATGCTGACAAACAAAAAGCTGGACATGAACAAACAGTGTCTAACAGCAGCCCAGAAAGCCAACCACATCTTAGGCAGCATCAGAGATGTGACCAGCAGGTCAAGGGAAGTGATTCTTCCCCTCTATTCTGCTGTCATGAGACCCCACCTGGAGTACTGCAGCCAGCTCTGGGGCTCCCAGGATAAAACAGATGTGGATCTATAATGAATCCAGAGAATAAGTTGACCACACAGCTGGTGCACCTCTCCAACAAACAGACTGAGAGAACTGGGGCTGTTCAGCCTGGAGAAGGGAAGGCTCTGGAGAGCTCTTAGAGCAGCCTTCCAGTATATAGGGGGCACTTACCAGAAGGCTGGAGAGGGACTTTTTAGGAGGGCATGCAGGGACAGGATGGGGGGAATGGCCTTAAATGAAGGAGTGTACATTTAGATTAGAAACTAAGAGGAAATTCTTTACTGTGGGGGTATTCAGGCGCTGGATCAGGCTGTCCAGAGAAGTAGATTTCCCATCCCTGAGGGTGCTCAAGACCAGGTTGCATGAGGCTCAGAGTAGAAGGTTTCCTTCCTTAGGCAGGGGGATTGGAATTAGATGATCTTTAAGGTCCTTTCCAGCCCTAACCATTCCATGGTTCTTTGATTCTGCAATTAAGCGTTTGTGCCAGAGCTTACCTGCATTGCAATGATTTGATTGCCTATTTTTAACTAAGGTGCACTACAGAACCTCTGCCTTAACTGTACTAAAAACTACAATTCAGCAGCAGTGTGAGTCAGACTTGTTTTGCTAGGAAAAGTTGTGCCAGAATGCTTTCCCAGCAACATCTTTGATCTTCCTCTCAACTGCAAACCCCTTCTGACCATTCTCTCCCTTTTCTCTCCAAGAGCCTTCAGAACCTAAGCCAAACACTGGGGAATCTGTGAGTCTACAGCATATTTGAGAAGGAAGGCCACTCTGCACCTATAAACTACTCTTTGCTCAACTCTTGGGAAACACTCTTTTTCTAAAATCTTCCTCATTCCAGTTTTCCTATCAACAGCCTGTTTTTGCACCACAGTATCTGAGAGATGATGTTAAGAGACGATGACCAAGATTTGGCTTGTCTAGGAATGTTGCTGCAGAACACAATGCCCTCCCCTCCACCTCTCAAAATGCAAGGTTACAGCACCAGCAGTCACACTGCAAGTATGTAACAGAGCACGCAAAAGCAGTACCCACGACTGCCAGAAAAAATGCCATTTGCATAACTAGTCATGAGGAAAGTATTTGTCAAAAAGATACATTATTTTCCAGATGCCAATCTCAAAATGCTAAAATATAAGCTGCTTAGCAGTATCAGCAGCACTGATTTGATTGAATGTATTGGAAAGGATACAGAAATGTGAATTATTTGCTGAACAGGTATCCCAAAACTGTATAGAAGGCTTTTGAAGCAGAAGTTTGCTGCTGAAGGCATTTTTTTGTCATTTTGAAGACAGAGGCTGCTTGATGACCATGTGAAAAATGCAATTAAGTTCTCTAGTTTTATGACACACATTTAAACCAAATTTTAAAATTACTTAAAGAATACAGATGAAGTTTCCCTGTGATTCACTCCTCCATGAGGAGAACAGCTGATGAAACAGTTACAAAAGGCATTTTAGTTCTTTAGTGTGGGACTGGAGAATGTGTTATGGCTACACTGTGTTACTCCCTTGCAGAGGAGTCAAACACAGCTTTAGTTTCATTTTAGAAAGTGAAGCCCTAAGGAACCGGCAGATGCTTGTTTATCAGTCAATGAAAAAGAACATCTGTCCTTTTTCAAGAAAGAAAAACATAGGAAAGGAAAAGGCACTTTTACCTAAAAGTAAGCCAGATGATTTTCAATCTGCAAAGTCATCTTTCCTTGATTGTCATGTACACACACTGTCAGTTCAGGTTTATTAAAGTTTTTTGTGAAACTGGAATGCAGTTCAAAATGTCTGATAGGAATTACAGTCATCTGTCATTGCTATTAACTACAACTTTAAAACACTGTCTGCCACAAGTAGGAGACATTAATAAAAAAAAAGTTTTACATTAATACAGATTTTAAAAAACCAAACAAAAGAATGAAAAAAAACAACCCACAACTAATATATCCATAACAAAATAAAATGCAATATCTTTGCAGATGCACACATTTAAGTTGTCAATACCTAAAAACCTGCCAAAGAAACCATGAACAGAAAATCACTTTTTCACTACACAAGCAAAATTCAATACCTGGGATCCAGACAACTCCTCAAGAAATGAAAGTAATTACAATTTAACACCACCTGTAAATACCAACTGTAAGTCACAGAAAGGTAACAAAAGTAATGTATGTCTTAATGCTGACATACAACGTATCTATAACAATTAAGATCTTGAATTAAATGAGTTAAGTACAATAATAATCAAAATCAGAAGTGACCATAGCTGTCCAATGCCTGTCTGCTAAGCATTTATAATAAATGGGACAGCATATACAGGTAACTACCCTCATTTTTATAATGCTCTTGGGTAACACAACTGAAGCTGTAGATTACCTGGGAGCAAAACACTGATGGTAAGCAAGCACTCTCCTAGGAATGTGATTGATTTAACTAAACTCCAGGAACACTAAGTTTTTGGGGAAGTGTGTGGGGGGAAACCAAAAGATCTGCATAACCCTGACAACAATCTCATTGATTGTCAACCCAACTAGTGTCTCAGTCCAAGTTAAAAATATACAAAGGACTGATTTAACGATGAGTCAGTCCTACTGCACCTACAACACCACATTTGATTCACAACTGTCAAAAAGCATCATGACAAAAGATTTAAGAGTGACAAGCAAGGTCATACCCTATAGCCCAGTGATGGAAAACAAGGGACTGAGTAGACTAAATGCCTGTTCCTTTTATTTCTACAAAGTGTTATACTTTAGTACTAGACATTAAGTGGTTTTCCACAGAAGTGGAAATAGCTCAATCCCTAGTTGGAATGAAGATGCTAAGCACAGGAGTCTTAAGCTCAAGATGTTCTGTGAATATCCACTTCATCTTTTTAACAAATTAGTTTTAATGAACTTCATTTCCCAACCCCAAAAAACTGGGGAAAAAAGGCATCCAAAACCTCAAAAACTGAATGTGAGGGAAAAAAACCAGTCCTGCTTCACACTATTGATGAATATTTTGAAAATCCTTTAACTATATGTCAAATAACTTCTTCCAGACACATAACTATTTATTGTAAGGTTCAAAGACAAGCTCAATAAGGCAGTGAGAATAGGTATTATCAGATGCTGAATCTCAATTTACACAGATGTAAAGTGACTTCCACTTTTCTTTCCACCAGCTCTGAGAAGCTATAGTATTTTCCTATCAAGAACCCTTAAAAGCCTTACTTAACATTCCCAGGTCAACACTTCCAGCAGAAAGCAAAGAAAAAATATGCAGAGTACAGAAAGTCAATCAAATGGTAATCTGGTTTTATAAGTACACACATGAACACAAGGTTCTGAGCAAATATGACAAAGTTTCAAAAGAGAGAAAAAATGATTTTACTTAGGTGCCTTTTTCTCTTGAGGACAAATCAAAAGGACTTTCAGAAGTTGCTTTTACAGAAAAAGAATCTCTGTATTACAGGCCTCATTTTGTACATCTTTCCAAAGGCTTCTTGCCTAGAATGCACTTTGCTGGGAAGGGGCCTCTGGATAATTGAGGCATGTACAATGCCTTCTGATCTCTCTCGTGTCTGTTTGGCCTTTTCCACTGAAGAAAGAAACCAAAGTTTATTTTATTTCCACACTTTGAAACATGCATTCTTACACTGATCAATTTTCTAAAATCAATTCTCACATAAGTGTAGGTGGTATAAACTTAGAATCCTACACAACTTTACTCTTCCCTCACTTAAAAAATCAGAACCTAATTTGAAAGTGCAGGGTCATAGAAATATTTTCATTTTTGAAGCTACCAGTACATGAAATACTTCAAAACAAAAAATACAGCAAAACAGACAAGAAAAAGCAAAGCATCAAGTTCCCACAGGCTACAACTTCAACATTTCTTCTGATTTTTATCTCCTCATTGATAGACAGAGTGGCCAACAAGTATTCAGCATACCTGCTCCAACTTCTTTTTCTTCTTCTTCAATGTTGTTTTTGATACTGTCGTACTCTTCATCAATTGCCTGGTTGCCACGCATTTGAGACAAAATTCTCCGTGCTCTCTGAGTCTGGCCTTTCTGAATGAGCCAGCGGGGACTTTCAGGAAGAAACAGGAATCCAAGAAACTGTATAACTGCTGGTACAGCTGACAGGCCCAGCATGTACCTGGAAATAAATAAGAAAATAGATGAATATCTACTATTTGCCTACAAAAACACGCTAGGAGAAGATTCAATTACAGCTACTCAAACTGTATTTACAGATGAAAGCTCCCACTCCTTGTATTTTTTCCTCACTGTAAGTTAAGGGGGAAAGAATCATATTCTGCAGGTATTTTAGAAAATATGACCCTTTCCTTAATTTCCAGGAAATCTCAGGGACATGTTGTCTATTCTGCCACCACTGACTCTAGTCCCACTGGTCCTGAGTACACTAAGTTAGATTAAATAAAAAACATGCAATATTCCACTAGTTTGGAAACTGATAAACCCTTCAGTGATGATAATCAGCTGAAAGAGAAAGCAAGTGCATGGAGAAAACCAGGTACTGTTGATGACAAAAATGAGATTGAAATCCTACTAATTGTTTCTCTGACAGATTAAAAACAAACAAACAAAAACAAACAAGCAAACAAACAAAAAGGCCAGAGAAAAATGCGTAATTTGGTCAGTAGTACATACACACAGACACATTTGCCAGTTTTAATTTTGAAAATTTCTGACTATAAGCAGAAACACTGAAAAAAGTTCATTTCACCAGCACAGCAATTTACAGATCTTTCAGAGAGTCTGCTTTTAAATCTTCAGACAGATGCAGTGTTAGGTTTTAAATCAAAACTGCATTTTAGATGCCTGAGGACTACTATTTATTGCATTAAGGCTAGTTCTCTACTCAACAGAGAATTACCACTGGTAAAAGCACAGTCATGCTTCCAAGGATCAGCACTGACACCTGTGGCAACACCCTGGCAGGGTTATTTGCTCCATCCAAAGTGGGGGAAAAGGCTGTGGAAGACAAGCATACCACCAATTTTCATGGATTGCTCAGGTCTATACACATCACATTTTTGTATTTCTTCAATAAAACAATAAAAGGATAAAAAGAACTGCAGAACAATGGATAATTTGGTTCTGCTTTTTAAATCTGACCTCTTCCCATTTTACACTTCACCCAGGTTCTTTTCACTTTCATGAAAGACTTCAAACAGTGCGGGTGTCACCTGTACATTACTGCATTTATCACAGGTTTCACATCAGTGAATATAATCATTAAAACACCTCCAGAAACCAGTCCCTCTGAATACTGAGTTAGCTTGTACTCATAATCATTCACACCTTGACATCAGTCAGGAGATTAAGGAGATTTGCTAATCTCTCCTCTAGCTCCTCTCTCCATACCCCAGGATGCATGCTTTCACAGGTAATTCTGCAGCCTCTCACCTGGATCTTTTTATAAAGCATGCAAGAGATTGCTAATTGAGTGGGAAGGAGAGAATAACCATTATCAAAAACCTTATGTTAGGGCAATAAACCAAATGTATTTGTCAAATTGAAATGCATTTTGAGTAAAAATGGAAAAATACTCTCTTAGAGGCATTTGTGGATTTAATTAAGAAACACATGGGCAGTATAACAGGCAGAAAACTGGAGAATGGTAAAAAGAATACCCAAGAGGCAATGCAAAGAGGATGACCATCCCAGGACAATGTGCATGCAGACTAGTCATCCCACCCCCAGCTGAGCCCTCAAGTTCTTAAAACCAGCCATAATTTCCAAAGGTCATACAAGCAAAACTTGCCCTAGAAAGAGCTCAGTGAACAGCTCCCCTTTTTTGATAACACTTTAAAAATTATATAGCTCACCATTAGTTAAAAAAGAAAAGCATAAGAAAGAAAATAAATTCAAGCCACAAAGTCTGTGGAAGGCTTATTAGCTGAGTAGTCTTCAGTCAATATATCTAACAGTGCCACTAATTCACTAATGTTCACATTCCTCAGTGACTAATGCTCTTATTCATTAATGGCTTCATTTAATCCTACACTATTCTTTCTCCACAAACATTTTGGTAGCCGTATACAAAATACATAGACCATTGAAGCTCACCAAATTGTAGATTCGATATCTTAACTGGAGTGATATTTAGAAAGCCTTTTCTGTTTCAAATAAAGAGTAAAAAAAACTCATAGAGATTAAAAACAACAGCTGTATCCTGTCAAAGTGCATGCAAAAATATGTTTAAATGCATCTAAGTACACTGATTTAGTCCATCAGACTCCTATTACTTAAATTTCTGCTCCTCCAAAGCCCTTCAGTCACTTAGGCGCAGCAGAGCCTCCAGAGCTAAGCAGTTGGGTGCCCCCAATCATCTTAGGAGGCAAAATCAATCAAAGCTCCTGAAAGCTTGATTCATACCAGTTGGACTCTATTAGATTGTTTATCACAAGAAATGTATAGACAGTGCTCTCTCACTAAAGTTAGTTTCCAACCTGCAAAATTCTGGTCAATTGAGTAAAAGGAGCTGGCATGAAAGAAAATGTTTAGTTGGAAGAGAACATCCATTGCAAGTTCTAGAGTTGGTGTAATTTTCAGAGCAAGCCATTTTGATATAATCAATTTAGAGTAAAATCAGGCAATTTTAGACATTTCATGTAGTGAGCCAGCTTTCAGAAATCTAATATAGTTCTTTCCTATACAGATTACAAGACTTTGCTTTTGAAGCCAGATGTCTAGCAGACCTGAAAAAATCCAGCATGAAATTTAATAAGTCTGCTGTAACATTTCTCCTTCGCTGACATACTGCTGCAATACTATTAAGATGGCATTAGCAGGGTTTATAAAGCTAACCTGACATAAGGGTCACATTAAATATTTGTTTTCTTTGGTTTATTTTAATTTAATATAAAGCATTTCCAAGAACAAGCAGAGTCAAGAAAAATTAAAGTTCCTTTTTGTTTGTTGCAGCACTCCAGTGCTTAGCCATTCAGTCAGTAAGAGATACAATAATTACTGTAATTTTCCTTCTTATATGTTATGACTCAGGAGACAACCTTTGTGATTTTTCTCCACCAGTTTGCTGGCCACTCCTTTCAGGTGACAGACCATCTGTACTCTTCCCTGCTCAGCCTTGGGTTGCAATAAACTAGCTGAGGACAGTATACCATCCTCAATTAACAGCTCCAGCACTGCAGCTAACATACTTGGATACCTCATCACTGAGGTGGTAGCCTGTGTCTTCACAGGAAGTTCACTCAATCCAGAAGAGCAGTACTTGGCACATGCATAAAACACAGCATTACTGCAAGTCACCCAGCACATGCCAGCAGGCTGAAGAAACAATTGCTCTTCACTACTCAACACATCATGCTGCACCTGGAAGACTAAGACTACAAATAAAAGAGAAAGCCACAAACCAGGAGTAACAGTGGATCACTAAGATGGGTTGCACACCTGGAGCATGTGACATATGGCTGAGAGAACTGGGTTTTTGCTACCCAGAAAATAAATTATTATAACATAAGCTACAAATTTTTGCTGCAATATCCTTCAATTCTGATAGATTACCACTGCTCAGATTAAGAATATTCAAACTTCACCTCTATCTTGCACATACAGCATATTACTTACTGGAAATCTGCGTTTTGAAAAATCAGCATGTTATCATTCTAAATGAAAAAGGCAAGCTACCTTCATAAACATCATGACAATTCATTCATGCTTGTGACACTTATTTATTACTCTCCCATTTTAAAGTTTAGTAAAGTCAAAAAACCTGCACATACTGTGAATATTAAGCTTAAGCAAATGCAGTATGGATCTATTTTGGCAAGATTTATTTACTGAAGTTCCAGTTTAGTATACAGTTTTACCACTTTCTATGTAAATTCTGTTTTACCAACAAGAATTATAGTAGCTGTCAACCAAATCAGGACTACAGCAGCTTGTTTTTAGCAAGGAAGGCTCACAAACCTCCATCCATCCTTGGCGAGGTAGCTGAAGATTCCATCAATAACACTTGCGAAAAACTGCCCTCCAGTGATGAAGAGAGTGTTAATGGTGACTAATCTGCCTCGTAAGTGCGGCGGAGCCACTTCTGCGATGTACACTGGCACAGTCATAGATGCTACACCTACAAGAATAAATTCAGTTACAGTTATAAAATTGAAAGAGATACTACACTGCTTTTTCATCATAAAATACTGTTTTGGGTTTGGCTGGGACAGAGTTCGTTTTCCTCCTAGTAGCTAGTATAGGGCTATGTTTTATATTTGTATTGGAAACAGCGTTAACTATTCAGGGATGTTTTCTTTATTCCTTACACTGTCAAGGTCTGTTCTGCCTCTCACCCCACACCACCAGTGACACTGGGGGCACACAAGTAGTTGTGAGAGGACACAGCCAGCACAGCTGACTCTAACCGATCCAAGGAATATCCCAGACTACATGGCATCATACTCAATATGTATAGTTAGGGAAAAAGGAGGAATGGGGGAACAATCAGAGTTGTGGAGTGTCTTCCCCAACAGCTCTAACACATGATGGAGCCCTGCTCTCCTGCAAATAGCTCAACAACTGCTTGCTCGTGGGAAGTGGTGAATGAATTCCTTGTTTTGCTTTGCACGTGTGCGTGGCTTTTGCTAAACCTATTAAACTGTCTTCATTTCAACCCACAAGTTTTCTCACTTTTACCCTTCCAGTTCTCTCCTTCACCCCAGCAGCAGGGAGTGAGTGAGCAGCTACACAGAGCTGAGTTGCTGACCAAGGCTGGACATGACAAGTGGTGACCTGAACTGAGCTGGCTTTGGTGTCCAGGAACTCCACAGAAAACACCACCACTCCTGCCCTGAGTGACCATCCTAACAGACGGAGCCCAAAGTCATGGGCTGAAGGAACTCCATGGACATTTATGGACACTTTACAGACATTTCACAGGGGTGGTCCTTAGACTGCGGGGATGATATCTGTGTATTATATCAAAGAATGGAGAGGTGGTTCATGGGTAATAAGAATGCACTGCATCTAGATGGAATAAGGGGTGGAGAATGTGCTAGTTTCAGCTGGGGTAGAGTTATTCTTCTTCATAGCATCCAGTATGGGCTATATTTTGGATTTAAACTTAGGACTTTGTGTTTACAAAATTAACTCCATTCAAGGCAAAATCTGCACACACTTAAATAGAATAAGCTGGACAAATTTTACTTTCACAGTATGAAAACAATGGAAATGCTACTAAGGAACCCTAGAAGCATACCATAAGCAAATGGTTGCTAGCAGCTGTATTGGAATTTCAAGTTTTGATGCAATGATACAAAGAAAAACTTTCTTCAATTCACACTGCCTGTACACTGTAATTAAATAAAAGGATTGGTATAACTGTAATTTTGAAAGAAAGAGATGCTATGATCCAAGTAAGCACACATAAGTCAAAGTGACTAACTGAAGACATCAGGTGTTCACAAAACTTTAAAAATAACTTTAGCATGTTTTCCACAGATAAAAACAAAAACAAGGCCAAGCATTATTACCATTATTGTTATTATTATTGTGTAATTTCATTACTGTTGCAGAACAAATTGTTTATTGACTTGGTTTAAAAATATTTCATGTGCTGTTTCGAGTACAGGTTGACTGGGCCCTGAGCGACCTGATCTAGTGGCCTCCCTGCCCATGCAGAGGGATTGGAACTAGATGATCTTTAAGATTCCTTCCAACCAAAGCCATTCTATTATTCAATGCAAAAACCTCACCATAAGGAAACCAGGACTAATGCTGAACCACAACTGCTTTTTATTCTGTCTTAACACTGGTAGTAATTCCTACAACTATGTGATGAATTGTTTGTGCCGAAGACAGAAATGTACATAAGGAACATATACAAACTGTAAAAACAGAGTTCAACAGTGCATGAAGAGCACAACTGGGTGCAGCACATGCTTTGGTGGCCCAAATCCCTACTTCCTTACAAGAACCAATGCTGACAAGCCACAGTGATCTCTTTTGTAGTTAAAACTGGAAGTACATTGGCAGCAGCCATCCAAAAACATATTTTGACTGAAGTCAGGTGAGATACAACTTGAGCACAGTGAGCACAGCCAAGCACCATCTCACACAACACATCTTCCAGCCAGCGGCAGCTCCACCAGCCCCACACAGACATCTCCACACCAGCACTGGCCAGTGCTACAGCCCCAGCAAGAAATGGGGCCACCTAAAAGCATGCACATGCTCCTGAAGCACAGCTATGGCTCCCTGCTTGTGTCACAGTAGAATGGCTTCCTCATGGGATGGCAGAGGCTTCAGCTAGTGCCCCACTGCCTGGCTGACTCACCAAACTAAGAGCACAAAATCATCTTTAGCAACAAGGTTAGCCTGACAGGACTGCTGGGAGCCTCCAAAAGCTCAAGCGAGGAATACAGATTGTGTAATAATAAAATGGCATGAGAAGATCCTTTGTTGCGATAGGTAAACACTCACAGCAGCCACTCAGCATGATAACCCAGTTCCCAGCAGAGCCTCCCAGGACATGCCAATGCCTCTCTTTCTTATTGACTGAACAACCGGCACAGAATAAAAAACTCAAATAAAAATGTCAGGGGAAAGAAAAAAGATCATTAAAAATTCATTCAACCAATTTTCAAAGCCAACCAGAATGCACCATGGAAAGAAGCATTCAAATAGCCCTTTGTGTATTTGACAAGAGAAGTGAATTTTCAAACCCAGCCCACCATTAGCGGTATTTCTCTCCCATATTTCACATCAGTATTTGAAATAATGATGATTAAAATGATGGAGACTGCACACATATAACAGAAAATCCTTTTTGGGAAAGCACAGGAGTGTGTCCACTTGCTGCGAACACAAGCCCCTGAGGACCCACACGAGGCAGCGGCTGGGGCAGAGGGGCAGGGCCCTACAGCTGTGGCAGCCCTGGCCTACTGAGGCTGAGCCTTCCTGCTCCCCCTGTCATCCTTCTGCCTTGGGCATGTCACCTCTAATGCCCGTGCTTGTTCCCCCACTGCGCTGTGGCCATCTTCCCATAGGCTCCTTGGGACTGTATGTTAAGATGTATCTTTGACACACATAATCATGTAGTAAAGCTAATTTGAGAAGTAAAGATGGCAACATCTGTATGTGGTTTTTACTAAAAAGTAGTTAGAAAGATCTGCACAACCAAAAACAATATCTGCTTTGTAAAAAAAACACTTTACTGCCTTTAAACTCTTAATGAAAACTGACTGTACATAGGACCTGCAGAAGAATCTTGTTCAAAGCAAGCCAGCCAAAAATGCTTCTTAGGTGTCCAAAAAAGCAGAGCCACACCATCATCCAGACCAGAAGCTCTCACTTGTGTTCAGAGCACACCATCAGCCCTGAGACACTACTGGAACCACTGATAGCCACAGCTACAACACTTTCCTCTTACAGGTGAAACAAAAACCTGTTGCATAACATAGGGGTGGCATGAAAGTTAACGTATTCACAAAAAGCCATGAACAAGCCACATCACGACAACAGATTTTGCAGCATTGTTTCTGCTGCATTCTTCTCACAAGTTGATGACTACAGAAACAAACAGAGAAAAGGAAGCTTGCACACCCCAACAATCCTGTCACAAGCTAGCCAGTGCTATTCAGCTAGCAGTAGTTGATATTATGTATATATTAATACAGTAGTTGAAATTATTTATTATTATTAAACCTGCATTAAATAGCACAAGATTTCTCAGGGAAACCTTAGGATTTAGAGTATTAGCTCAAAATCACACAGAATTGCTTAGATTGCCAGAAACATTTGAAGATCATCTAGTCTGATCGCTGTTCAAGCAGGGGCAGCTAGAGCAGGCTGCCCAGAACCATGATCAGTTAGACCCTGACCATCTCAACATGTGGATCTCCAACCAGAATGACTCAGTAATTCTGCAACTTCCATGGCAGCTTTCCCGCCCTGAGAAATGTGTTCACAATCTTGCTGTCTGAAACAGCCTTTCTGGATTTCTGTTTCAGACCTTACTTCCTCTACCATGTGTCCCAAAACCTACAGATTCAAAACATTTAAGCAAAAATCTCAATTCAGAAGACACATTTGTCACATATTTTCAATTATTGTTTCAATATCAAAACATATGCTTTGCTACTCTGAGTCTGAAAGGGTGCAGCAGGAGGTTTCAGGGAACAGGAGGAGGCAATTAGGAAAGCCTTCCCAGTTTATCTGACTGACATGCAGTAAGCATTCATACACAAAAGCAAAGTTCTTCTTGAAAAAAAACACTAGGAGAGAAAAAATGGCCATTCTGAAACCCATCAAAATACAAGAAAAAAAAAAAAAGACTTTAAATATTTAGATTAGATTAATCTAATCTAATTAGGTTTAGATTAGATTTAGATCTAATTTAGATTTAGATTCTCAAGTGTTATTTACATTACTCATTTGCTTTTAGTTGCCTTAGAATGCATCAATGTTCTCCAGACTTTCCTCCTCTGACTTCTATTTAAGACACACTAGAACACAGGAGAATAAGTTCTTCTGAAAAGGCATAGACAGAAGCAATGCATTAAGCATTATTCAAGTATAAAATACATAACCAGTATTTATTATGTAATTATTTTAATAGCCTGACATTAAAGAAATTTGAAAACAAAGAACAGCTTTCCAAATATAGCTGCAATGGAATCTTTCCTTAATCCTTCCTACGAGAATGCTTTCATTTACACTTAGATGACATTTTCTAATAAGCTCTCACTGTTAAACTGCTCACACCAAATAAAAGATTCTTGCTGCAGGCAAGTATATTACTACCTAACTAATAGAGCTGATAAGTGACAAGACATGAGAAAAAGAAAATGAAAACAATTAACTGGAAATCTGTCAGAGAAGGCTGAAGCTCTACATTGTGCACCACAGCTATGAAATATGAGAAAAGAGAGCAGGGAAGTCCAGTCTTTATCCACTTGAGTAACCAAAGCATGAACTTTCTGTTTTCATTAAAGGATAAAGCTTAGAAAAAACATAGCAGAAGGTTCCTTAAATTTTGCCCAGAAGATGCATCTAATTAATATACAGGAAACATCAGATGACACAATGGGCTGAAATCATCATATTAAATGTTTTTCCACTCCTAAAATCACTTAA